CATGCTGATTTCCCATAGAACTATTTTTTAATCCAAATATCATGTAATATATTAGAATTCTATAAGGTATTTGACATGACCAGTTATCTTTTGCAACCAAACTTGTAATTACATCAAAGAGCAAGGCCTATTTATCATGAAACCATCCTGACTGATATTAATTATATTTCTGTCCATTAGTACTTTACTGATTCAGATTCATATCAGCTGCTCCATTATTTTGCCTGCGATCAATGTCCAGCTAACCAGTCTAAACCAAGGTCATCCCATGTACCCTTTTTAATTATTGGCAGAACCCAGGCTCTCTCTATTTGGAATTTCCCCAGGTTTTTGTTTTTTAATTAACATCAATCCTCAGAGAGCTTCTTAACCAACTCTTTAAAACTACAGGTGCAAGTTATCCAGACCTGGTGCTCTGAAATTAGACATATGTAATAGATGCTGGTTAACATACCTTTTGGTTACTGTTGGAATTTAAGCATATCATATTATATGAATACAGCATATAGTTATGGTTCCAAACACAGAAAAGAAATATTTGTGTATAATATATGATGTAGTGAATTTCCAGTTCACATGGATTTTTCAGTGCATATTCTCCCTTCCACAGGCTTTTACAGAGAAATGGAAAATATGGGACACAGAAAGGTTGACTTGAGCCTAAGAATATTTATTTTTAACTCCTACCATACTTAAATTACTTTTTTTGAAAACCAGTTTTAATTCTTTTACCTGTTTTTCTCAGGGCACTTTTGCCTTTATTATTAAATTTATCCATTTGTAGGTTAAAGGATGATAACTGTGCTTTTCCATTTAGACAGAGTGAAAGCAGACTTACTACATTTGCTTCGTCAGTAAGCTGTTCTTCTGTGGCCTGTGTGAAACGTGCTGGTGGTTTCAGTCTAGTTCCTCCTGGGCAGGTGCCTACACCACAGCAACCAACACCACACTTGGCATTCTCGTTGGCAGTTCCAGCAGAGAGGTCAAGGATTGAAAGAACCTGAATACTGAATTACTCTTTCATGCAAAGAAATGCCTCAGAGTTCAGGACTGAAGTACACAGTTTAGGGAACAGTATGGAGAAGTTTACATTGCACTGCTTGTGCTGTAGCTGTTTGGGAAGGGTGAAGGGATTTGTATCTCTGTGAATTCAGCACCTTATATAAAGTTAACTTTTACTTTGTTTAAAAACCAATGATCCCAAAAAAAAAAAAAAAAGCTACAAATAAAAAAAAGAGTAAGTGACTGATCTTGCAGTCCTTTCATAAGCAGAATTCCTGATGACCTGAATGGGAGAGAATATGCAACAACTGCCTAAGTGGCACTGGAATCAAATTCAAGAAAACGAATGTAACAGAACTAGAACTGATCCTAATACAAAATAACTGGAGCCATATTCTGCCATAAATTTTTATGCAGAATGATCTGATCTGACTAAGAATTTTAAGGCCTGGAAATTATCTCAAAAGAAACTTTCATTATTTATCACTACACAAGCATAACACCTGCTACCAAATGCAAGGACCTCAGATACCCAAATGAAATACTATCACCATACTAACTGCAGCAAGTGACATTTCAGTCTAATAAAGTAATAAAAGACATCATTTCAAGCTGGGGAAGGAAGGGGAATCAACATCTTTTCCTGAATTAAGTACAAAGAGCCTTGTAATTAGAACACAACAGACAGCTGAAATAAAACACTAATTAATTTGGATCATATCTTACTCCTATTCCATGCACAGAGCCCCTTTGAAATCAACGGGAGTTTTGTGTGATAATAGATGGTATGACATGGGCCTTTATGCCCACATTTATACTACCGGGAAGGGGTGGGGGGGAAGAGTTTAAACTAGTAGGGAGCATGTCCTACATTTGACAGCTTCTCTATCAAATTTTATTTTTCCTTTTTAATGATAATGCATACCGGTTTTCATCCACACATCTCGAAATATTTTACTAAAAGAGGTGCATATAATTTTTCCCATTTACAGATGAGGAAATGGAGGCACAAAGAGGTGAACTCAAGCTCACACATCAGGCTAATGACAGAGCTGATAACAGAACTCAGGTCTCCTTAATCCCAGTCCAATGCCCTAGCCACTGAATAAATTCATTTATTTTTATGAATTGAACACCTCTTTATGTGGGTCTTTCAGCGACAGGCAAGAGAAAGCTATTTTTAACATAGTAAAAATGGCATTTTAAAAGCTCAGAAATCAGCACGGAGTCTCAGGGCAGGTGTAGCTAAAACTGCTGTTAATTCATTTTAAAACTGACTAGATTTCAAGTTGACACTTAACTCTGTATATATAATCTCTTGTCATGATATGGTCAATTTTCTTACCACTTGTCATTCCAAAATCTAGTTAGTTTAAAATAATGTTAAACTAATCCTACTCTACCAATGGAAGTTTTGAACAAGAAAAGAAACCAGGATTAGGCTTTTTCTTATGAAAATAAGTGTAATAATCACAAAAGGCTAATGTAAGAGTTCAAATACGCTTAATGTAGAGACGGGGCAGTTTCAGTTATTTGGATCTGTAATATTATAACGCTGACTAAGGACACTTGTAAACTATCCAATAATTTGACCACCCTGAATAGTACATTTTTTATTAAATGAGATGTGACAAATAATCCGAGAAGAATAATAGAAGTGACTTTTTCAGTAATAAGTAGATCCATTTTGAGGGTCCAATCTTTGCAAGGTGCCAAGTACTTCAAATCCAATGTACCTCAATGGGAACTGAAGGTGCTCAGAACCTCAAAGTAGGCTCTCTGCACCTTGCAGAACTGGACCTTAAGGCTGAAGAAACCAATTTTTCCACATACTCTGCAGTGTGAAAGTTATTTTTTTTTTGATGATTCAAGCTCATACAAGTGAAAAATATCTATATTAGATGGATTGAATGTCAATAAACAAGCATATTAAAGTATCCTTCATATACATGAAAATTCAGTGATATACTGCCGATATACCCTTGATGTAATATCAAGTTGTTTTAAAACATTAAATCTTTCATTTACTATTTTTCTGCTATTTACTACAGTGTTTTCCCATTACTATTAGTAGTAGTAAAACCACTTTTTTTCCCTTTTCTTCTTTTTAAAGAAAAGTCGTATCTTATTGACAAAACAGCTGAGGGAAATAATTACTGAGAAATATTGATGTTTGCAGACAGACTGTTCGTAGGATATTTTTCTGTGATGTTACTGATGCATCATGGCATTTTTTCCACTTGTCAAAACAAATACCACACCCACTTTATTTCAGAGTTCTTCCCTTACTATTTTAAGAGCTAGCAATCACATTACAACTACTAATCTTACCACTCATTACTTGACATATTTATAATGAAACAAATATATTCATCCATACACAATTACTGTTTATTTTATTTGGAAGACATCTTGATTAACAACCTCGTCCTGAAAAACTACCTTTGATATGGACAACAGTTAGTCAGCATCCTTATTAGTGATAGCATTGAGAATTGGTTGGTCAGACAAAAAGCTTCACACAGACAATGCATTTCAGATTAAACAGAGAAAGCCCTGGTGCAAATCTGTTTGGGGTCTATTAGCTCATGTAGTTGTACAAACTAACCCCTGAAAGGTCACAATTGTACTAAAAGATGGTGAAAGAGGCATGTCCTGATTTTCTAAGATGTGGATTTGGAAACATTTACATTACTACCTATGGAAATTGTTTACCTTGTGTAAACTGGATGAACCACTCAGTGATTATCATTGCACCTACATTAAAATTACACACAAATGCAGGGCTGTTGCAGAATATAATTAGCCTTTTCACTGTACATTATTTACTGCAAAACACACACAATTTTTGATAGGAGCAGCAGCTGCATACAGTGTGCAATGATTTCACTGTGCTGAGACACAAGAACAAACAACTGGCTGTCAATATAACACCATGGGGGCAAGTCAACTGTGAGAGCTGGCCAAATGTAGATGCACACAGTGAGTTCTACTGTCAGGGTGTTTAAATCGACTTCTCTTTTCCAGCATTCTCACAGACCCTAAGCAAGTGTGCATTCATTTTTCCTCCCTCAGAAATGTTTGACCTTTTGGGGGGTAGGAGAGATTCATAAACTAGGGTGCACAGAGCCCTCTATTGTTGTCATTAGCACATGGAACTTGAGCAAGTCAATCCTAATAGGAGCAATGTCCCTAGACTAGGATCAGCAAAGACTGGCAGTACTTGCACATCCCTGCCAGAAGGATAAGGCCCATTTCTCCTCCAACAACATTCCTCTTTATTCAGGATGTAGAAGCCTGAAAACTATTCACTACTTGTTATTATAGTCACTTCCCTTGGTTTTCCCCAAGAGACATTAATAAATATGTAAAAAGAAGGTCTGTGGGGGATAGTGTGGGGGCTGAGAGAGATGTGTATGAATGGGATTGTTATGTGGAGGAGGGAAGGAAGGGCAAAGTGGATGTATGGTGGGGAACACAAGTGGGCGAAGGGTAAGAAGGACAATACGGCAGGGTGGGGGGACCGGGTAAGTGCTCTGCATTAAAGATGATGTGGGGGAGGCACAGTCGGGGATGCGGGGAGCAGGATGGGAGTCATGGGGTATCCCAGGGCGCTCAGCAGGAGTGGTATGTGGTTGCAGGGGAGCAAAGAGATGGGGTGGGGGGCAGGCAGGAAGGTGTGGTCAGTGTTACGAGAAGGGGCAGCACGGGTGGGAGGCGATGGCAAGGAGGGCGCAGCGGCGGTGGGCTGTTCGTGCGTGGGAGACAGGATCGGCGTCTCCCGGGGAGCAGGACGCTCCAGACAGGGAGGGAGACACCCGCTGCCCTCCCCACCAGCAAACACACAGCGCCCAAACGGGGAAAGCCGGGGGCGGGAGGACGTGTCCCCCAGCTCAAAGCCTCACGCACGAGAGACCAGGTACAGGAGACCGTGTCCCAGCCAACACCCGGCGGCCCAGCCCCCCTCTACCGCCTCCCCCAACTCCGCCGCCACTTACCGCCACCGCCGCCCTCCTCGTCCATGTCGGGCGCCGTGAGCAGGACCCTCGGGAGCGGCAGAGGCTGAGCGAGGCCCGGGGGTTTCCCCAGCTCCCGTCCCGTCGCCCCCCTCAGACTCACACACACAGAGCAGCCGCCCCGAGCCCAGCCCTGGCAGCAGCAGCTGCTGCCTCTCCCCAAGCCGCCCGCCCCCTCTCATGTGACCCACAAAGAGTGGGAGGGGGAAGGCGGGCCGGGCCCAGCCCTGGGCTGCCTCATCCCCAGCCTTCACTCTGGAGCGGCACAGCGACCGCCCACCCCTCTCTGGGGGCCGGGGAAGGGGCACCCCGCTGGCCTGGGGTCCCTTCCAGTGTCAACAGGGCTCTTGCCGGGGGGTGTTTTCTCTCTCACACACACACTTCCCCCCGTGGAAGGGATAAAGCTCCTGCTCCTCCCCTAGCTGCCAAATTTTGTACAGCTCCATGTGAGAGTTTATATGTCGTTACATGTTTTGCATAGCATTGGTAGATGTAGATTTGTAGCCTAAACTTCAGTTTAAGCTCAATACACCTTGCCCCCCGAAGCAGGGGGGGGAGGGAGGAGGATACGGGGCTGCACAAAATGTGGTGGGTGCTGAAGAGCATCTGGGGAGTAGGTAGGGAATGTCTGGGGGGATGAGTTGAGGCAATTGGGGGGGAGGGCAGTTAACAACAGCTAGAGTTGCCAACCCTCCACTATTGTCCTGGAGTCTCCAGGAATATGTCCAACCAAAATTGGCAACCTTAACAGCAGCTGGGTTTGTAGAGGTGTCCAATGGGGAGAGGAGATAAACTGGAGCCTAGTCTAAGGGGAAGCTGAGGACTGTTGTATGTGTGGCTGGGGATAGCTTGGTGATAACTGGGGGAGGGAAGCTAGAGGTTAGTTAGGTTTGTTGGGAGGGCTGGAGGGGGCAGCAGGTTGAGATAACTGGGAGCTGTTGGGGGGTGTTTGAGAAGTTGGCGGTAGCTAGGTTTGTGGAAGTGTCTAGGGGGGTACCTGGGTAAATTAAGGGAGTTGGGGGTGGGTGGGAATAGCTTGGGAAGATGGCAGCTGAGAGAAGCCAGGATTTATGGGAGGTGGAGCTAGGTGGATAGAAGAGTCTGGTGGGGAGCGTAGGGCAAATACTGGCACTTTTTGCAGGTGCTTGCCTGCTCTTCTTGGCAGCTCTCTCCTGGTGAAAGGAGGCTGCTTCCCCAGCAAGCATTATGGTAGCTGTGAAGGACAGGTGGAGGCTATTCCTGCAGCCCAGTTGAATGTATGACATCCAATCTGGGCTGCAGGACTGCATGAGGCTCACCCCATTTTAACATTTGCAGGATGCCCTGTACAAGTCAGAGAGGTCCACAGTTTCAACATTGAAGGAGGGGCCATATGGGTTTTGGTGTCTACAGTGGAGTCCCTTATGTGTTTCAGGGGGCCTCTGTTTTGGTAGAGAGGAAGACCCTCTATGGCAGGGGTTCTCAAACTTCATTGCACCGTGACCCTGTTCTGACAACAAAGTTACTATATGACCCCGGGAGGCGGGTGGAGACCGAATCCCACTGCCTTTGGTGGAGGGAGAGGGGGCTGGAGCCTGAGCCCCACCACCTTGGTGGGGGTGGAGTTCGGGCTTCAGCTCTGGTTCCCAGCAAGTCTAATGCTGGTCCTGGTAACCCCATTAAAATGGGGTCACAACTCACTTTGGGGTCACAACCCACAGTTTGAGAACTGCTGCTCTATGGGGGTGAATCACACATTTTGATACGTGCCGGAGGCTCACCTTTCTACATTTGCATGGGTCACAGCACCACCAGATAACCCAGGGGTGGGCAAACTTTTTGGCCCGAGGGCCACATCGAGGTTGCAAAACTGTATTGAGGGCCAAGTAAGGAAGGCTGTGCCTCCCCAAACAGCCTGGCCTCTGCCCCCTCTCACTTCCTGCCCTCTGACTGCCCTCCTCAGAACTCCCGACCCATCCAACCCCCCCCCGCTCCTTGTTCCCTGACTGCTCCCTCCTGCAACCCCCCAACCCCTAACTGCCCCCCCAGGACACCACCCTCTATCCAACCCCCCTGCTCCCTGCCCGCCCCCCGGGACTCCCATGCCTATCCAACCCCCCTGTTTCCCATCCCCTGATCCCTCCACCCAGAACTTCCACCCCATCCAACCGCCCCCTGGCTCCCTGTCCCCTGGCTGCCTCCTGGGACCCTCTGCCCCTTATCCAACGCCCCCCCGCTCCCTGCCCCCTTACCATGCCGCTCAGAGCAGCAGGAGCTTGCAGCCCCACCGCCTGGACAGAGCCAGCCCCACCACCCAGAGTGCTGGTGGCACGGTGAGCTGAGGCTGTGGGGTAGAGGGAACAGCAGGGGAGGGGGCGGGAGCTAGCCTCCCCGGCCAGGAGCTCAGGGGCCAGGCAGGACGGTCCCGCGGGCCGTAGTTTGCCCACCTCTGAGATAGCCTATACCTGCCTACAGGCTTTTGACCAGAGGCTCAAGCTTTTGTGGGATTTTTCAGGCCCTTAGCACTGTCTCCAGAATCTTAGGCCTTTCATAGGTGCCACAGGTGGTAGGACTGCAGCCTCCACCCCCACAAATGTGAATAGAACAGTTCTGGCAGTAGAGGATAGAGTATATTCCTCTTTTTAAAAAAAAAAAAATAATTCATGTAAATTTTTGTATACAAGGAAGAAACTGTAGGGAAAGGGGTCAGCTAAGAGGAAAGGCTCTTTAGTTTCCCATTGTAAGCTGGTATGGGCCGGCTTGCAGCCTATGAAACTATGTCAGTGGTACTTACCTTATAATACCCTTGTTTATAGGTGGTCATTATAGTCAATTTTGCTTGGAGCTGAGGTTTGGTTCAGGCAACCTCTCTTCACAGGAGCAGTTTTGCTCACTTCAAAATCATATAAATCTCACTAATCCTTTAAAATAGTCCTCCTATTCTATTTTTTGTAATTACACGTTATTACATTTTTAATAACTTGGCACAAAAATAGTGGGATGATTACACAGTACAACATTATAGCATTTAATTGGAAGGAGATACATCTTTAAAGGGTTTGCATTACATAGTGGAATTTTAAGAAGATCTTTAAAACTAGAAAGCAAAAAAGTTTGAATGAAGAAATAAAGTGACTGGAGCTTTGGACATTTTACAAGGTGGGAAAGCTATGACCATTTACACCAGAGGAGTGTGACGTTTCCCTGGTATGATCTGGACTGGTGATCTGCTAGATTACTCCAATCCTTGACTCTGAGAGCCAGCCTTACCCTGCTCTGCTGTGAGAACCCCCACTCCTGAGCTGTTCACACATGGCCTCTGGAATGTAAGCTGCTCCTTGGATTGTGCAACCGAATGACACCAGCCCATATCTCTGGTCCCAGACAGAACCTCCATCTTGCAGTGTCTAGTTATGCCCGCTGGACGCTGCAAGCTTATATGAGTTTTTCAATTTAACAAAGAAATTGATACGTACCAGGCTTATTATCCCAAGGGGAGTCTCTGACACGCTTCAAACCAAATGCACTGCTTCAGGTAGAATTTATTTATTTATTAACTACAAAGATAGATTTTTAAGTGGTTATAAGTCAAAGCACAACAAGTCGGATTTGGTCAAATGAAACAAAAGCAAAACACATTCTAGGCTGATCTTAAAATTTCCAGTGCCCTTACAAACTGAGATGCTTCTCACCACAGCTGGCTGGTTGCCCTCCAGCCAGGCTCTCCCCTCTGATCAGCGCTTCAGTCGCTTGGTGGTGATGTCTGTAGATGGAGGTGGAAGAGAGAAGAAGAGCATGGCAAACATCTCTCCCTTTTATCGTGTCCTTTCTTCCCTCTTGGCTTTGCCCCCCCACTTCAAAGTCTGGTGAGCATTACCTCATCGCAGTCCCAAACTGACCAAAGGAAGGGGGGTGACTCACTTGAGAGTCCAACAGATCCTTTGTTGTTGCCTAGGCCAGTGTACTTTGTTCCTGTAAGGCTGGGCTGGGTTTGTCCCATACATGCCCTGATGAGGTGTGAACTGCCCCTCTGCTCTGGGAGAGTTTTTGTCTGGGCTTGTTTAGTCACGAGGACACATTTTCAGCCTCATAACTATATACATGAAATTACAACCTCTAACAGTGCATCATGAGCCTTCCGCAGACACCCAACATGACAAACTTTGCATTGGATAGATACCACACAATCATTTTATAAGGATGAATATGGGGTGCAGGGTGTTCCCATGATGTACAGAACATCACAATGAGGAACTGGCCTTTGGATTCTAATGCTCAGATTGTTCAACTTGTATTTCAATGTATTCAAGTACACTGATTTTAGGCTTTTATTTTTATCTCTTATGTAGTATTGCTTTAGATAACATTTAGTTCCTTACTGCTTGTGTTTGGCAAACTATTTTCCCCCTTCATGCTGTTTCAGTTAACCTTAAAGTTAATACTGTATACTTTTTTTGCTGCAAGGGAAACTCCAGTGCACAATAATAAGATATTCTAATCACTGCCTCTAATTACCAAGAAGAGTAAGACACAGTACAGTCCTCCTCCCATTAATTCAATGGCAAAACTCCCATTGACTTCAAAGGGAACAGGATTGTGCCCAAAAAGAAAACAAGGTGTCTTATATTAATAACAAAAAAAGCAACAATTTTCTGATACAAAGTACAATTGAAAGAATTGGTATTCCCATTAGGAAGTGTTCAGATACCACAGTAATAGGATATTTTATAAAAACTTCTATAGATGGTGCTGAAAAATCAGACAGTTTCAGAGTTGTATGGTAAATGAAATAATTTTTTAAAAATCAAATTTTATTGTAATGTTATTAATTTACACCAACTGTTAAATTAACCACAGCAATAGAACTGACCCAACAGCAACTTGGAAACTATCTGCCTTTCAATACTTTCTCATGGGAAAGCTGTTCCTTTTAGACCGATCATACAGTGCACCATCAATAAGGGCTCCTGCTAGGAAGGACCATTAAAAATTATAATCTCTGCTTTCAGGCTGTTTCACTGAGTATGGTATTGAAACAATGGTAGCTGTTTCTAGAAACTTTTAAACTTTTCATATATATCTATCTTACTGTAAATATGTTTATCCAAGGGCCTAGTTCTGCAGAGACCCTATGCA